AAAAAAATTAAAAAAAAAAAAAAAAAACACATTTTATTTGTTTCTTTCCGTCTAATGGTCTGTTTGGCCAAGTTGAAAAAATCAGCTTATTTTGAGAAGTATTTTTTTCAAAAGTGCTTTTCAGAAAAGTACTTTTGGAGAGAAGTTGTTTGTATTTGGCTAATCAATCTGAAAAGCAATTTTGAGCAATAATTTGTGTTTGGCCAAACTCTTTAAAATGTGCTTTTAAATATCAAATTACGAATAAAGACATAAAAAGATTTACTTAACAACTAATATTATATAAATAATGTTTGATATTTATTATTAAAGATAATAATAAAGTCTTTTTCATTTTATTTATGTAAAACATGAAAATAAATTGAAAAGCTTTGATTCTTTTAAGATAATTTAAATATATCAAAAAATTATTCATCATATTTATACATTAAGAGACTTCTCAATAATATAATCTCCAATTCTAAGTATTAGGTTTAATATAAGTAAGGTTATTTTGGTATCTACTATATTTTTCTAAGGGTTTTGGTAAGAATAAAAGTCAAAACTGCTTCTGTTTCTAGGGAGAAACTATTTTTTTTCTGTTTCTCTAAAATTGCTTATGCTTCTTCCCAAAAGTACTTTTTTTTTCCCGAAAAAGCTTGGTCAAATACCTCAAGTTAGGGGTGGGCATAATACCGGCCGAACCGAAAAAACCCGCCGAACCATGAATTTTAATTTTTCGATTTCGGTTATTCGGTCGGAGTATAGTTTTTAAATTATTAAATTTCAATTTTTTGGTGCGGTTTACGATTTTGGTGTTTCGATTTTCGGTTACACCGAAAAACCAAAATTTTGGGTATTAGTTGAGAAAAATAGGTTTGAATATACGGGTTCTTTTGAGAGTTCAAAACTTATTACCCATCTGAAGGCTGAAGCCCAATAGTTCAATACCCATTTGAAGCCCACCCAATTTATCCAAACCTAAGACTTAGTCTTACTGATAGTCTGATACGTTCCCAAACCTAAATCAAAAATTAGATTTAGGGTTCCTCTCACCTCTGTGCGACTGCTGCCTTCTTCCTCAGCTCGACTATGACACCTTCTTCCTCAGCTCGTCGCTCATCCTTCTTCCTTAGGTTAGTGCGACTTCTTCTGAGTTCTGAGTTCCTTTTCAGTTTTCTTCCTCTATTCCTCAGCTCATTCGATTTTGGTGAAAATTTTTTGTGTTGATTATTCCGCTAAGTTAAAGTCAGCATGTAACTTTCTTATATTGATCCCTTTCTATGCTACGTTATTTTGTTAAATAGGAACATGGATTTGACGGGTTTCATTAATCTCTCAACAATTTTCTATGTTCTGTTTGGACTTGAAAGGTTAGCTTGTTTGTGAAATCCAGTAGTTCGTATATTGCTAGCTTCTTGGACTTGAAAGGTTAATTGTTATATTGTGAAATCCTGCTAGTGGATGCTGCCAGAAGTTAATTGTTATTTTGTTAATTGTTATTTTGTTCATGTTGCTAGTGGACTTGAAAGGTTAATACCTGATTGATGAAGCAACAGCTGCAGCAACTCTGAACATTTTCCAATAATTTCAATGTGTTAATTGATAAAATAGGAGCAAAATTGCATATTTCAGAGTAAGAGAAAATGGGAGAATTGAGAAGAAACCCATAACTGATACATAAGTTCTTCACGCTCTCACTGTTTCGTGTTTTAATGCTTTCCGTAGGGTTTAAGGTTTAACTTTAACAATTATTATTTTGTTCATGTTTGGATGCTACAACGTTATGCCCACTGCCCAGTTTTTATATTGTGCAAAAAACCCTGGAAGTTTATGACCACTGGAAGTAAATCCAGATATAAAAATCTTGAACCGTTAATAATCAAAAAACTAAATCGAAAATAACCGAACCGAACTTTGAAAAAATCGCACCGAACCGTAAATACTTTAGTTTGATTTGGTTATTAATATTACAAAATCGAAAATCGATAAAGCGAATCGTACTTTCATAATAACCGACCGAACCGACATACCGACGCCCACCATTACCTCAAGTTGAGGAAATACAGTATTTTTTGAGGGGAAAAATACTTTTGACTTTGAGAGAAGCTTGGCCAAACAGACTATAAATGATTATAATGATCGACTAGCTCTTTCAACCTTTGACTGATCAATAGAAAAATAATTAACTATAACCATTTGAAATGAACTTTATCAACTTGTTCTAGCAAAGAGAGACTCTTTTTAAGGTAAGTAGTTTTTTTTTTGTCAACTGACGAAATTATATTATATTAAAGATGAGTGCCAATACAAGGAGCATCGTGGATGCTTTGCAGATTGTTACAAAAAGAAGTAGTGTCCTGACCATTCAAATGGTTCCTAGGAGGTGCTACAATATTATTGCCACTATCATGTTCAGTAATACAAAAATACATGTTGTTTGTTGATGTAGACATCGTTGTGTTTTTTAAGTAGGCAATGCCCAGTTGATCATCCCTAATTTGTTGATTCAAAAAGTTTGGTGGTTGGTGCAAAATGAGAGTGCTCCGGTGAGTTTTGTGTGGCTCCATATTGTGTAAATTCATCTGCAACACGATTCTGCTCCCTGTATGTGTGCGTAATGCACATGTTACCTAGTTGGCGTAGCAAGTACCTACATTCCAGCAACAAAGATGAGCAGTGCAAATTGTGGTTGTTAATTAACATAGATATTACCTCTGTGGAATCCACGTTGATTTCTAATGGAACGAAGTGATGATGCCATGCTAATTGTAGTCCTTGTAGTAGTGCACATAATTCCATATATGTAGAGTTTCCTGTGGGTCTTGCGCCCATGAATCCAAGTATCCAATTGCATGTATCATTTCTAAAAACTCTGCCTATTCCATTTCTGGGGGGCGTCCTTCAGAAGATCCGTCGGTGTTTAATTTAATAACCCCATTTGTTTGTGGGTGCCATTTTTTATACATGGGTGTGATGGTCGATTTTTGTGTCTTTTCCTGGATACTATATCCAGCTGGTTGAAAAATTAATTGCTGAATTTTCGAGGTGTGTGGGTGGTGTTTAAAGATAAATAGGTTACAGAGGTTCCATATATGCCATGTTGTATATGGAATTAATAATCGTGATGGTAAGTTAGCTGTAGATTATTAGTGGTGAGTGATAGTGTGGGACTCATTTTACTTCCCCTTACGATCTAGTTGCGGGCCTAGGTTGTCATAAATACTATGATGAGTGAGTCACACAAAGTGAATTTTGAAAATTGACCGCGGATCGTGATAATAGCTCACGTGGTATTTAGTTCGAGGAGAAGACTTGTGGATCGCGGTGATGGACCTCGAGGGGATTGTTGGGGGTATGAAAGCTGAAACGATTGGGAGCCTACCTATAAGGTGTAAGGATCTCTTAATTGTGTGAGACCTTTTAGAAAAAATCGTTTGGGCTTGGCCCAAAGCAGATAATATCACATCATGTTAAGATTTAGCCCAACAATTCTATAATAAACTTAAGTATTACTCCCTCTGTTTCAATTTAGATGAAGTAGTTTGAATCGGTACGGAGTTTAAGAAAAGAAAAAAAAACTTTTGAAACTTGTGGTCTTACAAGGTTAAGGGGTAAAAACTTTGTTGAGCCATGACCTTTGTGTGGTTATAAAAGCTTCTCATTAAGGGTAAAATAGGTAAAATGAAGAGTTTAAAGTTGAATTATTTTCAATTGTAGAAATGTGTCATTGTGTCATTCTTTTTGAAAAAGACTAATAAGGAAAGTGTGTCATCTAACTTGAAACAGAGGGAGTATTGTATATTAACTTGAGGCTGATATGAAAACTCAAAAAATTTAAATTTTGGATCTGCATGTAATGCAAGGAGNAAACACTCTATGTATGTATGTATGTATGTATCACCCGTGAATTGAATCTGCATCAAATGGATAGGAGTAATATTTTTTGTTCTATTATTTGCAGGTAGATTTTTTTTTCTTTGTCCCTACTGCAAGCATTCTAGTGGATCATATTTTTCCGATTACAAGCAACTTGTTTACTAAACAACAGAGTTGGTCAGGGTTAGATGAATCTTATATATTCATGCCAAACAAAATTAATGCCGGTGCCAAAGCTGCCTCAATTTGTTTTTACGTTCTGAAATTGTGACAATATATATCTTATTATTTGAGTAATTCTTTTCATATATAGCTTTGTCGTCGCTACTCTAAATAAAGGGTTCTTTACCTCTCCTTTTTTCCTGGTCAAAAAAAGATTACTTTACTGTTAAACGACATCATATGTCCAAAGGAGTGTAAAACGCCATTTACAAGTCAATTAGGAAAGACAGTCTCTCAAGATACTCCATTTTTCTTTTTTTCCCGAAATTCTGGATCCCGGGTTACAATTTTTGTGCCACTTTATTAGAAATTTTATAGTAGAACTCTTTCGTTAACTAAATTACAAAACAAATAAAATAAATGCAGAGTCTGATCGTATAAACAAGAAAAGATGCGGTGAATGAAAGAAATCAGTTTGTTCATTTCTTTTTTTGCTTTTTTCCACAACTTACGATTTACTTTATATTTCAGTCTGTTAAATTTGTTTTTGAATGTTCTACTATTGACTTTATGGAAGAATGTGTTTCGATATGGTGAATAGCATATACAAATAAATAAAAAGAGAGCCATTTACTAAACGGTTGATACAAAAAGGGGAAATGGGTGAAAATTTCGCATAATGCATAATTATTTTATAATATTCATGTAAATAATACTACATCTTAGTTATAGAGTGTATGTTTGGGATCAGGAGTCATGCTACCGATGATAGCACATCTCAAGAGTAGGCCCAGTTCGTATTGGCCCATGAACAGTGGAGTTGGTGTGACTTTTGCTGCTAGGCCTATATTTCTTAGGAATTCTTAAGGGGGAAAACAAAATAGCCATTGTAATTGAAAAATAGTCACAGTTTTAAAAATAATCGAAATTTAGCTATTTTTCATGTAAAGATAAAATCTGTGCAAAAACATACTTAAAATTTGAAAATATTCCAGCATAATATGCTGGAGTTCGATTTTTTTTTTTTTTTTTACATATGAGCTTCCAGCATAATGTGCCTGAATTTCATAATGTGCTGGAGTTCCAACATAATATGCTGGAAGTTTATACGCAGGAGCTCCTTAATCCTGAATACTATATTGGAACTTTCCGTGTTTCCGCAAAACAGTGACTGTTTTTCAATGACTTTGTAAATGCTTGTTATTTTTCGATTACCGATCCGAAAACTGACTAGCCCGTTCTATTGTCTTTGTTTGAGAATCTTTCGTTTTTCACATAAACAAAGAAAGACTCAACTATGTAGCAGTGACCAAGGGTCACTTGGCACTGAAAATAATTGTGATCTGCAATTCGAGTACTTCAACCACTGTCGTCATTAAGCTGTCTCTTTGGGACAAAATACACATTAAATTAATTGTTTAACTTGGCAATAATTCCATTTGTCTGTGTAAGAGTCAAACTTCGTCAGACAATCTACTTGAGATATTTTTGCAAATAAGTTTCCACCTAATAGCTTAGCTAGGGATTGTACAAACTACTATTTGTTCACAAAAAGTCATGAAAATGAGCAAGAAATTGAAGTTGAAATATATAGGAAATGAAGTTGAGAGAGTTTTAGACCCACACAGAGTAGAAGTAAACGCTTTTGAGGTGCAAATTGGCAAAAATAGACAACAAAGGCTAATTGACAAATTGCATACTGCCATTGTCTCGTGGCTCAAAGTCTATCAAAAACAAAATGGCACACCAACTGATCAAAGAAATTTTAGTTCCAAGTTGAATGCACTGATGACCACATCAATTAAGATTCTGATTCTTCGAATCACAATAATTCAAGCCTAGGGCTATATTGGATATGATAACAATAATTTGGGATTTCTACGCCAAATAACCGATCGAATTCACTGTTTATTTTTCTTATTCGGTATATACATATATAATATGCACCGATTATACATATACATCCACTGATTATTTTTAATTTAAACAGTTGTGCTGACGGTTATTTGAGTTAATTTTTCTAATTTCTTGATGTCATTTTCCAGTTGGGGACTAGTAAATAGTATAATTGTTAAACCAAAAAACTGCTGAAATGTATTTTTAGCATTGTTTTAAAAGGAAAAACTTGAATTCACTTTGTGATTCTTGATATAAAGCTAGCTCTAAATGAATAGAGAGAGGAGCATGGAATCAAGAGTACGTGTATTAAATGGACGAGTTGGGCTAGATTTGGTCAGATTAAAACGGATCAAATCAATAAACGAGTTGTGTCATTGACCATATGATCACTAGAATTTTCTTCGGCCAAGATGAAAATATAAATCAGTGGGTTACAATCCTGGAAAAGTAAGTGTTTCATTTATCACTATTTTTTTTGGAGATTGATTCATCTTTTTCTTTGACTAATTTGACTCTAGTAGTTACAATAATTCAAGCCAAGGCACATATTGGAGAATGCAAGAGGGGACCTAATTTAGATGTTTTTGAAGATTCTTTGAACTACGATTCCCTTCCCTTTTTGTTTGTAACAGCCTTTGTACAAGACTGCTTAGGGACCACATATATTACAAAAATCCAATTATGTACTAAAGTGAGTACTTTTTATAACGGTATCTTTAAAAGATCAAGTTTTCCTTGATTTTTTAAGTTATATTTTACCTACATCCATATTTATAGCAGAATGCTCTTTGTAAAATTACCTCTCTATAACA